TACACCTTTCTCTTTCAATAACCAAATCCCGTTCTAATTGTTTAATTTTATCACCTTCATTTGTTGTATTGGCTATGAATGTTTTAGACTCAATATCCTTTTGCATCAACACCAATTCCAACTTAACCCCTTCCAGTTCAACAGTTAAGAGCTTACAATTACAGTCACACTGATGAACACTCGGTGACTTCTGATAAATAGATTTAGGGCTCACCTTACTATGATCTTCCGTTTGAATGTCAGTCATAGACAAGGCTTCAGATGTAGGAGCATCATTCACTGAGGTAGCCAAAAGCCCGACAATACTATTGGTATTTGATGTTGTCGAGTACATAGCTCTGTCTAATGGATTACTTATTGACTCGCCATTCACCGACAAAGCAGCTATTCCCGTAAAGTCGTCGCGCGATGTTTTCTGGCAGACTTTAATCATCACGTTAACTAAATCCGAGCTTGATTCACCATGTAATATGAGCGAGTTTTGTTTACCGGGGTACCAAGTTATGGTCAGGTCCGAATCGGAGCATGTGAATTTTTTAGAGCAGCCACCTGGCGTAGACCATTTGCCCTTCAGTTCAATAATTTGTTCAACGAATATCTTCAATGATTCGAAGCTTGCAATCCATTTCAGTCGTTTACCATCATAAACAAGTTTTATGCGATCATCATGTTTATAGTAATCATTGAGTTTTGATTCAAAAGCATTTTTATCTAAAAGTTTCTCAGAGCTAGTTAAAATACAGCCGTCCGCCATTTTGTTATGTATCAGTATTGTATTGAGATAATAAAATTTTTTGTTGCCATTGTCCTTTAAGATTCAATTTAAATTGAAACCTGTCTTTGAAAAGTACATCGAATAGAATGAAACTTCAATATATGGAATCAGAAGTTCGCTAAAATCGAAGGAAAACTATCGACAAATTTATTTTGGAGAGAGTCTGAACTAAAGTCGGATTTTGGCGGAAATAGTGGGAGCAAATTTAGGGGAGGTGCAGCGGTCTAGCTCACGACCCCCATGGAAAGTTAGGGCTTAGAGCGGGCCAAAGTCACGACGTGACGTATGCATGCAGTGTACACCCATGGATAATAAAATACATGGGTAGGAAACTAGCTGATACGTGACCTAATGTTTTCAATGGGATGATGGCGTTGAAACCTAGTTGCAAACTAAATTCTCAAAAACGGCATGTTTAGCGATAATACAGGCACATATTGCAAGCACTAAACAGTGAAAAATGCATCGCAAATTTCGTAAAAATTGGCGACGCCAATTTCGTAGCTACAAATGTAATTTCGTAGCTACAAATGTAAAAAAATACAAAACAAAGACGAAAAACATTTACCTTGAATATTTTTTCGTGGCTTAGGCATGTTTTTAAAATATGCAATATTACTCTTTTAAAGTGGAACATATAGCGAAACAACAAAAATGCTGAGAACGTTGGCAATACACGTGACGTCACAGATTGCAACTAGGTTTAGACTGTGACGTCAGGAAGTTTCCTATGCAGTTATTTTACAATCCATGGTACAACATATCACTGTATTAATGAATTATGACTGTATAACTAATCCAATTTTGCCCTTCACTACAAGTACTACAAAGTTTCTTTCAAAACATTGCTTTAAAAGGGTACTTGACACAGAGATTAATCATGAATGGCTCTCACTGTTTCAATTTTACAGAAAAAACTTTCTTACGAAGTGTAGACCCTAAGCAACAAAAATGTCAAATTTTCACTTTTATCTATCATTGAAACTTTGCCAAGGGCAAGGGGAGGTGCATGACTTTTCAGGGGAGGTGCAAAACGATCTCAGGGGAGATGCGCAATTTCCCACACCTCCCCTCAAAATTTCCCACATCTCCCCTCGAAGTTCCCATCAATATTACTCACTTATTCATAAATAGTATATCCGTATTCCTTAATATCCGCAAAACATTACTACAATTAACCATCATCGGATCCTTCAGAGAATTCTTTTGACGAAGACTTATCCCTTTTCGGTATGATAAACCTGAAAGAGCAGATACGCGTTATGCCTATGATTAAATGAATGATTATAATACATTTAAACTAATGAAGGCGAGATAATAAAGGCTGCATGCTTTTCAGTTTTAGAATTGTTTTAAACATGACTGATTTATTCTAAAGTTTAGAATACTTTCAAGATATATAAAAATATACGTAGTAGAAAATAACGTTTTAAACTTACCCATTTTTCTCAACCCCTTAAATAGATCAGCCAAAGCTCTTTTCTTCAACGTGTAAATATGCTTACGGAATTGTGTTCGTTCTTTGCCAGTCTGAGCGTGGGTATAGAAATAAAATTTATATGGACATTATGGAATTAATTTGTTTATATATATCAAATATATAACGTAGTTAAAAGCTTTAAAAGTAGATCGAAATTGCTTATGGAACAAAATTCTTTATGATTCCTTTCTCAAGAACACTAAAACGATGAATTAGCATATACTGTTAACTTGTTTCTTTCTAGTCATTCTTGAGGTATTTCACTGAGTGTGATATGCAAATATCATTACTTGTGCATGGCACCATACTAGCTGTATTGCGATAATGAAAGTGCACCAACATGAAACTGGGAAAAATATTGAGAACAATAGATCTATAGGTTTGCTAGCCAATCCAATATAGATTCATATATTTTTATTTGGTGCATTTTTCATAAAAATTCTAAAGACTTGTCCAGTAACTTACCTTATCACCAATTTCTAAGTTTTGAAAAGAATGTGTTGTACTAACAACTTCACCTAAAAAATGTAAATATTAAATAGTTTGTAACTATATACTAGTATCGCTGAAAATGACTTGGTACATAAATAAAATAACTACTCCAAACTAAAATAAACAAGAGTTTTACCTGTGAAAGTATTTACGGATGCTGACAACACTTCGTATCTTAGAACGTTCAGTTTCTGTTGTGTCAATTTCTTCATTTTTGAAAATAGTTCACTCCCAGCGCCTTCGAGGTCTAGGTTCTGAAATAAATTAATTAGTTATTAATTACAGAGATAACGCAACATTACTTCGATAAAAGAAATAGTGCTGTCAGTGAAGAATCGAAATTTTCTGGAAATGTAGAAATATCAAGTAAATCTCAGAGTAGATAATACAACATGGTGTTTGCTAGCTATATTGTTGAGCTGCACTGTACGCGAAAGCTTAATTCCTCCTTTTTTTTTCTAAGCTGCCATATTTATAAGTAGGTCAAATGCATACCTGAATAGGTGACAGAAAAGTATTAGGTTCCAACTTGTAACACGAGTCGTCGTGCTTGGTTGGATCCTCGGAAGACCCCACTTGTTCGGTCGAACTTAGAATTCCGTCAATTCCTTCTGACAATTCGGCCTGTAATGTTCATTAGAAAAAAATATATATCACATTAGTAAATAAGTAAGTGGGGTGTGCTAATCATCCTTACTGTACTTGCAGCTGAGAGCTAAGCTGAATTACGAGGGACGCAGCTCAACCTGATCGAGTCGAAAGCTTTCTATAAGGGCGCCTATGGCAGCCACCTTATGACTAATAGGGAGCTTTAGATTTGACTACGAGTACGAGTACGAGATTTAATCGCGTGCGAGGAAATTTCTGTAGTCGTTTTCGTTTCCATTCAAATGTTGCTTTTATAACAGTAAACCAACAACTAGAGAAAAAGTTTCATAAACTAAATCTCCTGCAGACTAAAATCCCCTACAAAACGTGTAAATAATTCATAACATTAAAAACAGGCCAGATATTTAGTACTAATATATTATTTGTGCCGGATAAACGCTATATAAATGCAACAAATTATTTTTGGAAAACAAAAAAACCCCAACTTTCTTTGTTTTGTTTTTTAAAGTCGTCGTGCAGGACTACGAGGTTTCTCCACAATTTCGTACTCAGATGGGCGACGGCTACGACTTTTTAGCGTCAGTACGGGATGGCGTAAGCATACAGCATGCGTTTAGCTTGACGAATCTCGTACTCGTAGTCAAATCTAAAGCTCCCTAATGTCTGATCACGGAACACAGCTACGGTGGAAGGGTCAGTTAGGGGGATAATCCCAACCCACCCTGTCAACATTCCCTGTGAGAGGAAACCGAAGTACCCGGAGAAAACCCACGACTTTCGGTAGAGCGTTGACTGACTCTTTTCGCATAACTGTTATGCATGAATCCGTAGCGAGAATCGAACCCACGATCTCAGAGGTAAAAGGCACTTGCTCTGACGATGGCGCCACCGAAGCCCCAATTGACTATTTGCGTAATAGACTAAATTTTGATATCAACAAAAATTTCATTACAGCTTGAAAGAGCATCACAAAATTAGTAATATTCCAAAGTTTCGTTGCAAAATGTTGTAAAATGCGGAAAATATAGCCTTGCGAAATTTGAAATTTTCAGTCATTTTAGATTACAAACGGGAAATTGACAGCCCCAAACCCTTCGAGGCTGTCAATTTTCCATTTGTAATCTAAAATGACTGAAAATTGCAAATTTCGCAAGGCTATATTTTCCGCATTTTACAACATTTGGCAACGAAACTTTGGAATATTACTAATTTTGTGATGCTCCTTCAAGCTGTGATGAAATTTTTGTCTAGACTTGTTTAGTTCAAAATTTAGTCTATTGCGCAAATGGTCAATTGGCACAATTTCTCTCCTTCGTGTTACCCATATTCTATACTTGAATTAAACAGAAGCAAAATACTTGCCTGATATTTCTTCATAAGTTTTAGTAAAGTATAGTGAGATTTTGTGGAGGTTTCTTTCATTGCCCAATAGTTGATATCTTTCCATTTTACAATCCTGATGAAATCCTGCGAAAAAGTTTTTGATTTTGGAATTAAATTACGATTATTCAGAATAATCTTTGTTTTATTTAGACCGTTATTATTAGCATGACAAATCCCAATTGAAAACAAACGTATTCGCACGTGAAAGGCATCGTACATCTGGATATTCTTTCGTGAAACTTTGGCGAACCAAGTTGAATATCCTATTCTGTTGTTGCTACGGAGGAACTCTGATACCATAAAAGCTCTCTGCTGCGGGGTAAATTGTGGCATCGCCATTTCAAAGTGTACGGGGTATTATACGAGAAATTCAGCACAAACAACTCGAAAGCACAAATTTCGTGGAAATTCCATGGAACTCTCATGGGAGTAAAAATGAATTCATAATGAAGCAAGAACGGCACCAACAGAGAAAAATGTAACGTTTTCATAGGCTTTTCGGAGGATTTGTACTCGGTAAAATCCTGCCGAAATTTTATCATAAATGCAATTGTCATTTCCGTGCGCAAGCCACTTTTAGGGGAGCAAAAAAAGTTGACCACCCCCCTGGATAAGCAAAATTTACTATTTTCAAATTTTTTTATATTTTCCATAATTTAAGAACTCAAGCAATCCATATATAGCAAAAATTACATTTCATGAACAGAATTGTGGAATTGAGAGCAATTTCAAAATTGTCTTACTTTTTTTGATACACCCTGTATGACATTACCTTGAGCTCTTTCTCAATTGGTGCTTTTGCTTTCTGAATTAAAGATCCTACACGAGATTCGAATTGCTTGTAATAGCAATATACGTTCCATAATACGATTCCTACAATGCCTGTTATAAAGAAGGGTTTAAAATCAGTGTTGGCATATAGATTCTTTAAAGGAGAATTGTCAAGGTCATCCAATGCTCGATTGCATTTTTTATGCCTAACCCTAAAACTAAAGAAATGTGAAATAAGTATATGCCATGCCTCTTATTTTTATATGCATGCATTTATCTTATTCTTCAATATTACTTCGTAGTTGGTTCGTTTCTACAATTTTGAATATTTACTCGTTGTGCAGGACCACTAAACACATTCGTTTGCTGTGCTCACTCGTATATGTTTAGCGATCCTCCACGACTCGTAAATACAATCGTACGCAATCTCCAAAAATGAAATAATTTACATTTAATGAAGGGATGACCATAACTATAGGCTTCTACACAAAACAACTTAGATATGACCACAAGAATTATCCAGCACAAATAAAATCAATTTAGTTTATTTTAGTTTAGGGACCAGTTGTACGAAGGTCAAATAATGCTATTCAACGGATCGCGAATTTTAAAACTTTCTAAAGTTGTCCATCGATTGGTACATCCCGAATTAAACTTTCATTAATTGTAAGGTCCATAACCGTATTTTAATAGCTTTTTCAACTGTTTTTACAACAGTTGAAAATTCACTATCTTGTGGGTAGCATATAAAATTATACCTGAATCATCATTTTGCGCGTTATCAATTGTCTCCTGATAAGAAAATGAGGCAAGTATATTCAATCTTTCAGAAAACTCTCCCAATGGTGAACATTCCATAAACTGCTGCAGAACTTTGATCAATTCAGTAAAGTCCGCTGACCCACCATCTTTGGGCACAGAATATTGCTGAATCACGTGATGTATATGAAACCACCAATGGTTAGCTTTCCCTCGAGTTTTCATTTCACAAACATGAAGTAGGGAGGACCAACAACTACACAAAGCAAACGGTACTATATTAGCACAAAATTAGGTTTGCCATGCAAATCAGGTGATTTTATAACTTCTCAAAAATAAATTTTAGGAAAAAATTAAGATTCAAAATTTGCTTGTTTACAGGTATTTATTACACTCTTTCGATAAATATGTCACAGGTTTTTTGAGTTTTTTTTTAAGTTTCTTAAGTTTAGATATAGGTAATGAGAACCGTATTGGTGTCACAGTAGTCCTTCAATTTTAGATCAAAAGGTCTATATCTAAACTTTAAAAATTAAAGAATCGTGACGAAATAGCCTTTCATCTCGATTCATAAAAACAATTAGGCTTCCTTGCCATGGAAGTTTGGCGATGTCATTGTCGAAAGCACGTATCGCGCATTGAAAGTATACACTGTAAATTTCAGGGAGTTAATTTAACTCCAGTGGTATTATTCTGAACCTAATTATACTCCACATTTGGAGTTAATTGAGGTACAGTATAACTCCACCGGAGTTAAGTTAACTCCCTGAAATTAACAGTGTAGGAGTTGCGACTTTATTATGTTTGCTCATGAATTATTGGTGAGTTCAGGGGGAGTTTCAAATGACAAGATAATCAACTTTTCAAAAGAAAGTGGCATCTTTTGGAGTTTTCAGAACTACAGTATAGCTGAACGCGTTTCTTTGATACATGTTAAGAAACCAACAATCTAACAAGCTAATAAAGTAAACTAGCTAACAAACTAACAAACTAGCTAACAAACAAACTAGCTAACAAACTAACAAGCTAACAAACTAGCTAACAAACAAACAAAATAACAAACTAACAACCTAACAACCAAACAGACTAACGAACAATAACAAGCTAACAAAGTAACAAGCTAACAAACAAACTAGCTAACAAACTAACAAGCTAACAAACTATAACAAGCTAACAATCTAATAAGCTAACAAGCTAACAAACTAGCTGACAAACAAACTAGTTAACAAATTAACTAACAAAGTAACAAGCTAACAAACTATAACAAGCTAACAATCTAATAAGCTAACAAAGTAGCTAACAAACAAACTAGCTAACAAATTAACAAACTAACAAACTATAACAAGCTAACAATCTAATAAGCTAACAAACTAGCTAACAAACAAACAAACTAGGTAACAAACTAACAAACTAACAAACTATAACAAGCTAACAATCTAATAAGCTAACAAGCTAACAAACTAGCTAACAAACAAACTAGCTAACAAACTAACAAACTAACAAGCTAACAAACTATAACACGCTGACAATCGAATAAGCTAACAAGCTAACAAACTAGCTAACAAACAAACAAACTAGCTAACAACTAACAGACTAACAAACTATAACAAGCTAACAATCTAATAAGCTAACAAGCTAACAAACTAGCTAACAAACAAACCATAGCTAACAAACTAACAAGCTAACAAACTATAACAAGCTAACAATTTAATAAGCTAACAAGCTAACAAGCTAACAAACCAACAAACTAACAAATAAAAACAAAATACGTAATTCTGCTAACCTTAACTCTAATTTTCTCCATTGGATAATCACACGAGTGATCTGATCCAAATAAAATCTGATTGAGACATGTCTGCTTGCATTGCTTTCCCACTCCTTAAACAAATACATAAAAGATGTCAATGAGGCGTATGTCACTGTGTATATAAGCAATAGCTTATAGCAATATAAGCAAGGTCTTGTAGATGAAAATTATCGAGTGGAAATTTATATACATTTATTAGAGCGCTGCACCAGAATCGCATGCAGGGGCACAGGTTCGATTCCTGCTAGGGACCAGTAGTTGCTTTTATCCCAGATGATCCCGGTTAGGTGTAATAAATGTATTTCAAAAACTCATTAATAATTCATGAGGAAAACACAAAGAGAAATCATAAGCGTGGCGTGTCTTTATATGTGATAAAACACGCTTCAAATTTCAACTTGTATTTTCTCAGCTAATACAAAGTTATTTTGGAAAATTATTTCGCCAATGCCGTGATCTACCTGAGACGATTTTGAAGCTGTTTAATAAACTCGTAGTTCGTGTTTTATCACATATAAAACACTCCACTACGCGTCGTGTTTTATATGTGAGAAAACACTCAATCGTTTATTAAACAGTATTTCAAAAACTCACTAATAATTCATGAACCAATTATCCAATCTTGAGTAAGAAATTAGTCAAGTGCATACGTCTTTACACCAGCTAAAGAACACTTTAACAAACGACCATTGTTATAAAGATTTTTATATAAAGATATTTATATAAAGTTTTTTATATAGAGATTTATATATAAAGATTTGACTTATTATGCATACGTTTTTGAAGCCATTTAAAAAACTCCCAGGTCGTTTTTTACTAGGTCTAAATCTTTGTTAGGCTTTCAACCTAATAAAACACTCCCGATCCTGCTCATTTTTTAAATAGTACATTTACAATAAATAACGCAATGGCTGAGCTTGTTCAGACTGTGCAGTAGGATACTATAGTGGAACCATGCAACGGCTCGTTCCATATAAAAACGAAAAAAACCACTAAATATCTCATAGTCTGGACTTCCATGGCTCCAGTCAATAACATATATATATGTTATTTACCGGATTGGAGGTCCGTATAGAGAAATATTTCTCGAGGTCTTAAAAACGGCCCGAGGCCGAAGGCCGAGGGACGTTTTTAAGACCGAGAGAAATATTTCTCTATATACGGACTGACCAAACCGGTAAATAATATTTTTATTTTTTTTACTTCCTCCTCTGGATTTCTCCAAACACTCCTCCCGCACGCGAATGAAGCTGCCAAATAAAACGTCGTTTCTGTCAATGCTATCAGGAAGAGAAATATCTTTTGTGAGATAGTAAAATTCGTTTTCACTGTGTTTTTCATCGTCTGCAGACATTTTAATGTTTTAAAAAGTAGCCTTTAA